GGGGGGAGGATGATCTGCAACAAGAGAGTTTTGCCACAAAAACATGTAATTTGAACCCTCTTACAGTCTTACTTTAGCAAACTGTATCCTGCAACACAGAAAAATTTGCTGCAGAATCAGATGATCCATGAACCCAGAATTGATGCTGACAACCTAATAAATGAAATGAGATGTTCAAAGTCCACAAGATGCTTCAAGCCCCTGCATGTTGGGTGTGGCCTCAACATGTTCTATTTTAGGGAAGCGGAGTGCTGTTCATTAATATTTCCAAGGAAAGCACACCCTGACAGCGCAGCACAGTCAAAGACCAAGGTCACCTTATTCTAGCGACGTGAAAGCCACTTGACTAGGCTGAAAATGTGTTCCCAAAACCTATTTCAGAATTTCTTCCCTAATGGCTGCTGCAAATTTTGGTTGAAGAGCTTTAATGGCGCATTAGGGAAGGCTGGTGACGCAGCAAGTGGAGAATCAGGGCTGTGAGGAATGTCCTCTGATGAAGGTGCACCGCTGACAGCAAAATCCGCCTCATGGAGACTTCGAAACTCTATTTGCCATTCCCTTCAGTATTTACCATCCAACTGCTGCCTTCATTGCAAGAGGGTGGGTTTTGTTCCTGTGTATGGATTTGAGGACCCCACTTATGCATGAAGGACTGGTCTACATCCTTTCCTGGATAGCCCAAGAATAATAATATTTAGTAATTAGCCAAGGTACTAGAATGTCACCCACCAAAAGATTCACATCTCTGCAAGTTTAAGATATAACCCTATGGTAAAGCAAGTTTTTCTTATTTTATAGTCTTTATTTTTTGCATAGAAGAACTGGGGTATAGGCCAGAGGTGCAGGATAGGGGAAGGGTGAGAAGATTCATCTGAGACAGAGTGGGGAGCAGAACAGAGGGATCTACTGAAATGCACTGCTGAGGGGACCAGAGGGTTAACAGGAGAGGTCTGCTGTGCCAAGTGAGTCAGCTCCCTGGCCGGGGATCGAACTCAGGCTGCAGAGATATAACCCCAAGCCACCAGGGAGGCCCTATTTTATCTTCTTTAAATTCACTTTCTCTGTGCAACTCCAAAAATGGTAACTAGCCCTGCCACCTTATGGCTATTTAAATTCGCTCACATGACCATAGGAAACAAATCTTACATGCTCAGATATCAGATGCTACTGACTTTAAGAGTCTGAGCTTCTGCGTGAGAGACACTGGGGTTCAGAGGCCAGTTCCCAGTTTTACTAGCTTACAACCTCGTGTTAACTTATTTTAACCTTTTTAAGCCCCAGTTTTGATCTAGAAATTGGAGATGTTCATATAACTGTTCTGCTTCACTGTGAGAATTGTCTGAGAGAGTCAATGACGAGGGGTTATTACACTAATTAACTCCAGCTAGGACTCGCAAATGTGCACGTCTTTACCCTAAACTCTGTTTGTTTTATTATGAGCAACTTTCTGTTTTCTTTTTCCTGCCCTAGGGATATGAAGCCTGACAATATTCTGCTTGATGAACATGGTAAGTGAATGATTGTTTGCTGTCAACTCATTGGCACGCATGTAGCACAAGCCTGTCACCCCCAGGGCCCGGCAGTACACTGGGGGCCAGCTCCCTGTTAGGGAAGGGACATGATGGCGGCACTTGATTGTTTACAGCAATGGCATCATATACCTGTGTGTTTTAATGAACATGCAATTTACATAATGAGAGTCACTTTTTCAGATTTCTTCCACTTTTACTGACTGCATGAAAACCTTCACAGTTTATTTGGTGCCCATTGCCCTGATATGTTTATAGCACTTAATTGTCTCCCTTCTTTCATGAAGACAGCCCTGGCCTCCAGCCCCAAGCCTCTGGCAGGTAATACTATCTGTGTAGATATCAGAATATTATTTTATTCTCACTGTGTCTGCTATACTTTCCTTCTTAGGTGTGCAAATTGGTTTTACACTTGCAGAAAAAATAGAAAGTTGCTCAAAGATTTTTCAGTTCAAAAACTGATTGTTTAAGACAGCTTAAAGAAGACTTTAAACCCCTTTAAAGGGACCTCTCTGGTGGCAAGGGGTTAAGTCTCAACACTATGAAGCTATCAGTAGCCACTGCAGCACAAGTTCGATCCCTGGCCAGGGTGCTGACCCTCATGGCATGGCAGACCTCTCCTGTCTCACCCGCTGCTCCCCTCAGCAGTGGATTTCAGTACATCTGCCTGTTCTGCTCCCCATTCTGTCTCTGGTGAATCCTTTCACCAACCCCCCCCCAACACACACACACCTTTGGCCTATACCCCAACTTTTGTATGCATAAATAAATAAATAAATCTTTTAAAAATATAAAGTTAGTAACAGTACATGTGGTACCCAGATAGGAAAGTGCTATAGGGCTTTTGCAATCATGAAGATGATAAAAGAATATGTAAGGTCTAAGTATTATTAATTGAGGTTATTTTGTAAAACAAGACTTTGTCATGGTGGTTAAATTACAGAATCTCTTCCTAATTTTTATTTTAATGTCCATTTGGATTTATTGCTACATCAGAGCTACACTGCAGACATGTATGACACATAACCCACAAGTTTTAAATGTTACAGTGGCTATTAAGATCCCTTTATGCTTTCAAGAAGTTGCTGGATGAGGGATTCCCAAGCCTGCAAAGCTTCTTATTCATTTGATTTTTACAAAAGGGCTTTGCAAGTGGGACTAAAGTGCAAACACCATCTATTACTCATTATTTATTTACCTAGCTGCATTTTAAACCTGATTTTCCAGATCCCACCTGTGCTCAGAGGGCTAAGAATCACTTTTGTGTATGACCTCCAATTCCAACCGGAGGATCATCATTTATTTATACTCTGTCTAAAACGATTTTCCCCACTTTCCTCCCTTCCCTTAGTTCTCTGTTGCCTTTACTGCTTCTGACATCTGGGAACAGATTCTCTGAATCTCAGAAATGTGAGCAATGGGGAGATTAAGCATGAAGGTGACTTTCATCAAAACACCAGGTATCCTGGCCTTAAACAGGAAGCACATGGGTGCAGATACTCCCCACAAGAGTGTCCCAGTTCTGGAGTGATCCTCCCTTCTCTCTAGGGGCTACCTTTGTGCAACTTAGGGAAAGGGGCTCTCTCTGCTACCATGGCCCTGCAAAGGTGCTGGCAGGTCAAGCCTGGGCCAGGCTGTGGTTCTGTCCCTGCTCAGTCAATTGCTGACGCACAGTACGTGTCTCTCTACCCTTTGTTGAGGCTCTGAGTGGAGACATACAGGTTCTGTTGATCAAAGCCTTTCCAAGATTTATGCCATTTAAGAAGGGTGTTTTTAATCTCAGGTCTCAACTATGGTTTCATCTGATTTCATTGAACTATTTTCTCCTGATATTCTTAGCAGCTTTGTAGTTGAAGAATAGGAGAAAGATCAAGAAATAAATTAATCTTCAAGTTTAACCTTTCCACTCCTAAAGATTGTCCATGTAAAAAGTTAGTCTTACAATGTAATTAAGAGTATGGATTCTGTTTTGAATAAAGCATAACACCACAGGTTATCATGAACAAATATACAAATTTTAAAAATTGTATTTTTATATCTCATGTATATTCTTGTGCAGCTATCCCAATGGTAAAATTGGGAGGTGGGAGAGAATAGGGAATCCCATAAAAATTTATATGGATTTATTTAAAATGTCATTTAAAATTAAAAAAAAAAGTTTGGATTCTGGAGCCAGATTTACCTGTGTTTAAAACCCAGGTGAGCCCTCACCAGCTCTGAGTTTCCAGCAGATTATCTAGACTTTCTCTTCATCTTCGCTTCTTCTGGGGTCAAAGACTACCTACTTCTCAGGTTCATTGTAAAAATGAACGCACAACATTTGAAAGAGCTTGAATGCAAAAGTTTGCCACAAGGAATTCACCCAGTAAAAGTTAACTGTTGGTGTAGTTGTGCTTGGCTTTCTTCCCTGTCCAACGTTCCCATCCCCATTCTGAACCCTGCTTGATAGTGGCTACAGTGTGTTTCCAGAAGATAGTATAGGTGAACAGGGCCAGAGCACATGGACTAACAAGATCAATCGATAATCGTTCTCTAAACACAGTCCAAGGAAAATAAAATTTGACGTTATTTCCTTTGTATTTATGCCAAGTCAGGAAAACAAAGCCTCACAGGCACTGCTCAGGTACCATCATTAACCAGTTTTAAATACACAAATCCCTGGAAACCCTTCACCGCTGAATTCATTGTCTAGCGCACCTCTCGCGAGAATCAGCTAAAACCAGGTGAATGCTCACCTTTTGGAGTGTCTCTGTGGGAATGTTTCCTATTTCGACCACTCATTTGTCTGATTTTTTTCTTTATGATATTTTACCACCTGTGAGCCAACATGTCCATCCCTGACATAGGAACTTCAGCAGCTGGGGAGCATGATAAGTCTGAGACAACCGAGGCAGGCTCCCCAAGTGGCAGACATCTTCATGCAGCACAGTTCAGTAATAGAGCACAAGCTTTGTTCTACGCTTATTGACTCTTTTTGATTCATACTGGTTCACGTCCTTTTGAAAATATTGCTGGCCCTCCCTGGTGGCACAATGGGTAAGGACGCAGCACTGCAAGCTAGCCACAGCCGCTTTAATGCGAGTTCGATCCCCGGCCCTGGAGGTGACCCACATGGTGCAGCAGACCTCCTCTGCCTCACCTGCTGCTCCCCCCTCAGCAGTGTACTTCAGTCAATCTGCGTATTCTGCTCCCTACTCTTGTCTCTGGTGAATCCTTCCACCCCCCCCCCCACCATCCCCCCATTTCTGGCTTGTACTCAAGTTTTGTATGCATAAATAAATAAACCCTTTAAAAAAAAAGATTGCTATTTAAAGGAGCTAAATCCTTTTATCAAAAGGAGAATCCATACTATGAATGACTATTCCCTGTACAGAATCAGACTTAAAAAGATGTTTCCAATGGAGAGCCCACCTGTTACCAGTTTCTCCAAATGTCTTGCTTGCCAGTTCAGAGCCCAAGATGGTCCTGGATCTTGATGGGCTCGTCACACACTGCCTGACATACTTTTCACATCCTTCCAATCTAAAGGCTGTAATCCAACTCTGTCAGTCCCATAGCATCTAAAATTCATGTGGTTCCCTTAAATTATTTAGGAAATAAATGCAGCACACAGAGAAACAAGCCTGTCTGCCTGGGATATCAAACACATGACAATTATGGCACCATCTGTAACTTAGGGTTCTTAATATCTCCCTGTCACATGGCACAGAGAAAGGCAGAAACCCAGCAGGGGCGTCAACAGCCAGTCAGCTGGCTCAAGTCTGCCCTCACAGAGTCCCCAAACACTGACATGGCAGTGGCTGCATCTTTTTGAGTCTATAGAAATATAGAATAATGTGCCCCATCCCCAGATAATCACATGAAGATCCAGGCTGTATCTCAAAAATAGGCATTTTTACCAGAATCCCAGAGAAACATGATAGACCAATACTGGACATTTTCAGTAGGGCACAGTGTCCACTGATTGATTTCGGGGCCCCAGAGGGCTGTGCCGCGAGAGCCCCAGGCTGAACCCAGGCAAGGGTCAGAGAAGCAGAAGCCATGAGGGCAGTGGTGGCTGCATGCGATGACCCAGTGCTGTGAATGTGGATTTTGGTGTGATGTAGACTTTGAAGAGACCCTGTCTCTTGAGGTACAAAGGAGAAAAAAGGGAAAAATGCCTAGGGTCTAAATGGGGAAATTTTGAAACACTTCATCCTGGGACAGTGGCCCTAACTTGGGACATCTTGATCTGCTTCATCTTCTCACAGAGAACACCAGTCAAGGTTTAAAGACAAGTTTGATTGTCAGGATTCCATGAGAAGTAGGGCACATGGCCATCTGGGGGCAGAGTCCAGGAATGCCACCAGTGCCCTCAGAGGCACAGGACAGGCCTCCACACCAGAGGACTCTTGGTTAAGATGTCTATGCTGCCGGGGGGAGGCCTCGGGGCCCAGGAGTGGGGCAAGGCCAGTGGAACCTCATCCACAAGGCAATTCCTGTGTCCCTCAATCCACAAGAGGAGAAATCTCCCCCCTCTGAGTCAACCCCCAATTTCATTTTATGGCACAGGAGGGAGATTGGCAAAAATCCCCAAGGTGAACACCAGGAGTAGGGTGGCTCAGGCTGGGGCGGGCATCCCTGGCCCTGGAGCGCTTTCGTTTCCTCAGCCCACGTTCCTGCAGATGCTGGTCCTCCCAACCTCGGCCCTCTCTGTGTCCTGACAGGGGAATAAAGTCTGAGGAAGCCCAAGTACTTGTTTCAGTTCAGACATCTCCTTAGTCTGTGGCACATGAAATTGTGGGACAATTCACAACCCGCCGAGGGTTTGTGGTCCAGACCCTACACCCCCAAGTGCTGCCACCTCCAGCCTGGTAAACCTAGCTACCCACAACACTTGTAAAACAGGGACTCCTTCCCGGGGTGACAGTGCGTACCCATTTTGAAAACTGCAACGAATCATATAAACAAGACAAAAATTGAACATTTACCCACATTCCAAAGTTATATAAGGAGTACTGACCGAGGTCGGGATCTTCTGCTTAGCCAGGTTTTCTTCTACAGGTGTGGTCTCATATCTTCTTGGTTATCAGAATCACCTGGTAGGAAGAGCGAAGGGCTTGTTTAAACACTGGAACTTCACCCTCAGGTTCTGATATAACAGACTGGAGGAGGGACCAAGAAAATGTATTTCTTTTCTTTTTTTTCCAAGATCCATTTATGTATGTGTACAAGAGCTGGGATATAGCCAGAGGTGTAGGAGGGTGAGAGGATTTACCAGAGACAGAGTGGGGAGCAGAACAAGTGGATGGACTCAAATACACTACTGAGGGGAGCAGTGGGCAGGATAAGAGAAGTCTGTTGGGCCATGTGGGTCAGCTCCCTTGCTGGGGATTGAACTCTTGCCGCAGTGGCTGTGAATAGTTCATAGTGCTGCAGCTTAATCCCTTGTGCCAGAGAGGGCCCAAGAAACTGTATTTCTAACAAGTCCCCAGGGAATTCTGAGGGTGCTGGCCCGGGGAGCACGGTTTGACACCCCACCATCGTCTGGCTTCTCCTACACTAGCTCAGCTCCTATACCACCTGAAGAGGAGGCACCTGCCTGCTGCCCATTTGAAACAGCTGTGGGTCATCTAGTGTTTCTCCCACAAGTCTGTCTGAACCTGCTGCTCCAAGTGTGAAGACAGGGAAGTCCAGTGTATATTTTGCAGGTCACATTGGCATTTCTGATTATGACAATCTGAGCAACTTTTGAACACATGCTTCCTGCCAATGCTGCACTAAGTCTCCCATGGTGATTATTTCACTTGCTCTTCTCAACAACCTCGTGAGAACAGCTGTACTAAGTCTCCCATGGTTATTATTTCACTTGCTCTTCTCGACAACCTCGTGAGAACACTGCTATCATCACCCCAACAATGCAGGGAGACTAACTCCCATTTTTTAGGTAACACAACTAGTTAGTGGTAGAACCCAGTCAAGCAGTCTGATGCCAGAAAACACCTTAACCACCAATCTCCAGGTTCACCTCATTTGCACCAAACCTTTCAATACTGATCTGATGTTTTGAACATGACTCCAGAACAAAACAAAAAAAAAAAAAAGAAAAATTTGAGACAATTTGTTCTGTTGACACAGCAGATTCTCTCCCGCCATGGAGAAAGCCACTCTCTTCTCCCTCTAAGTGTTACAAACCTCTATTTATGTGTTTAACATTTGTCTTGCATTCTGAGGACAAATGGCCTTCTGCAAAGAAATTTCAAAACTCAGAATCTTGCAAAGATAACATCAGAACTAACCACCAGATGGTGACGAAAACAAGCTAGTGTCAACCACGTCCCGGAGTCTTGCACATTAGGGAAAAGGGTGTGTGGACTCTCACCCCTCCTTCATGCCCTTGTAAAAAAAGCTAAATATCCCCACCCTTTGCTAGCCAACAGGATGAACTCTTTCCAGCTGTAGTTGACTAGCCTCATCATTTGTTGATAAAAAAAAAAAATTAAAAAGAAAGAAAGAAAATACTTTTGTTCTCCTCCTAATTCTGTTCTTATTAGCAAAGGAGCAATTCCATTATCACTGTGACAGAATGCAGTATTTAAAGCATCTGCAAGTATATGCCATTCAGCAAAATTACCTTCATTTTAACTAGATGGGAGCTACTTTATTAGAATGCCATCAGATAAAGCTAAAACACCATTTGCACAATGTAAAAGTGCAGAAATAAAGGCAATGATACTCCTCTTCAGCAGCAGGCTGGGTGCTCTCAGGAGTGACAGTGAAGCGGGGCAGGGAACATGTGACCGTGGGACACGGGAGGACCAGATAACATCCCCTCCAGTCACAGCCAGATCCCATCAGAACCACAGAAGCATGCAAATGGAAACGCCAACACTCAAGCACCTCTGAACGCACATGATGCCACAGCTAGCGTGACCTCAGGCTATCTGCTTGAGCTGCTGGTGCTGTCTCTTCCCGCCTGTGAGCTGTGAGGACCCTACTGCACTTCGTGGGATGTGCCCTTTGCCAAAGGCAGTGTTAGAGCTGTACGGTTGCTGGGTATTGGAGCTGAAAGACAGTCTAGAACATTTGTTCGCCATACCATTTTTAAAATTTATACTGGTTCACCAGAGGAAACACGTCCAGACTGTGATGTGTTAGGAGTGGCGTTCAGGGCAGAAGCCTGGTCACCTGGCTCCCACTTAGTGCATTTTCTTTTTAAGATACATTTATTTATGCATACAGAGCTGGGGTACAGGCCAGGGGTGCAGGGGTGGTGAGAAGTGTCACCAGAGACGGAGCGGGGAGCAGAACAGGCAGAATGACAAAGTACAGTGGTAAGGGGAGCAGCAGGCAGGTCAGGAGAGGTCTGCCTCGCCATGTGGTCACCTCTGGGGCAGGCGGGGATCAACCCGGCACTGAAGTGGCTGCAGCCGGCTTGCAGTGCTGTGCTTTAACCTGCTGTGCCACCAGGGAGGGCCCCCTACTTAGTGCATTTTATACAGCTTCTTTAGAAATAAAACTTCCGGGCCCTCCCTGGTGGTGCAACAGGTTAGGTAGGATGCACCACTGCAGTGAGCTTCAGTTGCTTTGCTGACCCACATGGGGCAGCAGACCCTCCTGACCCGCCCACTGCTCCCCACAGCAGTGTACTTCACTGATCTGCCTGTTCTGCTCCCCGCTCTGTCTCTGGTGAATCCTCTCACCACCCTGCACCTCTGGCCTGTACCCCAGCTCTGTATGCATAATAAATAAATCTTAAAAAAATGAAAACTTCCTCAAAAATTGAAACTTTAGGCCCTCCCTGGTGGCGCAGCGGGTTGAAGCACTGCACTGAGAAGCTAAAGCCACTTCCTCATGAGTTCGATACCCGCTCTGCCCCGGAGGAGACCACATGGCGTGGCAGATCTCTCCTGACCCGCCCGCTGCTCCCCTCAGCAGTGTACTTCGTCGATCTGCCTGTTCTGCTCCCCACTCTGTCTCTGGTGAAGCCTCTCAGCGCCCCTGAGCCTCTGGCCTGTACCCCAGTTCTGAATGTATAAATAAATAAATCTTAAAAAAAAAATTGAAACTTTATACTATTTGGCTATGTCATGTCTGGGTATTAACCTCTCCTTGAAGTGATAACTTCACCCTTATGTTTGTTTCAGTGTTATTTACTTCCTGAGGTGAATCTGTGGGCAGGCAGAAGTGTAAAATAAAATCAAGATAAAGGCAGCCATTGTTAACCTCCCACGGGTCTCTCACCCACATCTCTCTGTCTCTTTCAAGTGTCTCCTTCCACGTCTCCTAAGCCCCTGGTACAAATCCAAAAAGCCAAGACCCAAGTGCAGCTTCTTCACGTGTGTCTGCTCCATGTGCCTCTCCAGCTCTTCTCCTAGTCTTCTTCTCTTTTGTTTCCCTCCACATCCTTCTCCCAATCCTTTCTAGCTTCTCCTGTCTGCCCAGCAACACCCTTCCTTGGCTGGGGCAGGGAACCTGGAAGCTCCCCTTCCCCTGGGGGTTACCCTGTTACAGAACTACAGACATACAACTATCACTCATCCTCACCCTCCTCTTCATCACGCATGCTCTGGCCGCTGGTATGAGAACACACTCGGAGACAATATCCGAGTTTTGTTTGCCTGCACGTACAAAAATGCACAGACTGTTTCCAGAAGCATGGCCTGCCTGTAGCTCTGTTGGGACTGAACGTTCTCTGTGGTCTCTCTCTCTCCAGGGCACGTGCACATCACAGACTTCAACATCGCGGCCATGATGCCCCGGGAGACACGGATCACCACCATGGCGGGCACCAAGCCTTACATGGGTATGGGCTTCCCAGGGTCTGTCTGCAGTGACCAAGGGCCAGCCTTTTGCTTCCTTTCCCTGTAGACACTCTTAGGGGTCTGATCAGTTGCAGCTAAGAAATGCCAAGTCCAGGCCCTCCCTGATTGCACAGTGAGTTAAAGAGAAGCACTATGAAGCTAGCTGCAGCTGCTTCAGCATGAGTTCAATCCCTGGCCAGGGAGCTGACCCATGTGGCGCAGCAGACCTCTCCTGTCTCACCCACTGTTCCCCTCAGCAGTACATATAAAGAAAGAAATAGAAAGAAAGAAAGAAATGCCAAGTTCTCCCTGACTGATTCTGTGGGTCTGAGGTAAACATCAGAATTTTCCATTTACTGAGCACCCAATCTGACCTCATTCAGGGGAGCCATTGATTCTACTTGGAAAACACCAACCAATGAGTTATTTAGGACAGCTTCTACCCCTCCCTAAAGAAGAACATGAATTCATGCAAAACTCTCTCCTAGTTGTCTCTATACTGGAATTGTTTGTTGACATTCTTATTAGCAAAACTCCAGGCATGGAGTTTTAGCAGTAGACAGCAGTGAGACAGCTGTACATAGCATGGCTACTATACTACTAGGACAGCCACATCCATAATACCACATTGCATGCTGTGAAGATCTCAGTGTCTTCAAGGTGCACTTTCTGTTTTTGTTTAATCACAACAATCCCATGAAGTTGCCTTATGTAAAGATGAGGGCCTGGATTTTCTCACAGTCAGATTTTTCCCAGAGAGTGAATAAAGCACAGGGTTAGTTTCCAAAACTGGCACTCCATCTCGCCTTGATCTGTGTTAGCATTCAAAAATCAGGTGACATTCTAAGTGGGGAGGCTGAAGACAGCCTTCTTAGTGTAGAAGCCCCTCCAGTATGGCCAGCCCCACCTCCCACTGACCCCCAGAAAGACGATGGGAGAACAGCTGCCTTACGGGCAAACTGAATCCTATCTCAGAAGAGTCTGATAAGTGTGGGGAGCTGTGAGGAGAAGCACCTGGTGCCCCATTCCCAGCTGAGTGTCCACTCCTGCCTGGCCCACTGCCCTCCATGAGCAGAGCTGGAGACAGCCATGCCAGTTTGATGAGTGTGGAGTCCAGTCTTACTGAGGACCCTTGCAGGAGACAGAGCTATGCAGCAGTGTGAGTGTGCAGATGTATGTGTTGAGTGTGGCATGTTCACGTATGAGTGTGAGTGTGTGTGTGTGTATGTGCTGAGAGGGCAGATTTCCCAAAGGATGGGTTGGCGTCACAAGAGGCCGCCAGTGCCTACCCCAGGGACACAGCAAGACAAGGAGGGAGACAGCTGTAAGCATGGTTTACTGGCGACACCACCAGTCCCAATAGAGCCTAAGTATATCAGAATCTGGGGGTGATGCCCAGGTGTCAGGTGGCTTAGAAGTTCCCTGAGTAATTCTGCTGTGCAGCCAGAGCTCTCTGCTCTGCGGCAGACAGACCTTGAGCCAGGCAGCCAATGGAAGCAAGAAAAGGGAGAAGGCCCCAGGGCGGGGCAGGTGTGGGTGCAAGGAGCTCTCTGTTCCTCCCCAGTGTCCTAAAACAAAAGCGAAGTTCTAGGAAAGGGGTTAGGGGTACCAGGTGCCAGAGCAGTCTTCATCTCCATACTGGGGTGGCTGAATCCATCCTGGGGTAGGGAAACTTTACATCAGACATGAGAATAGTTTTGAAATCCATAGGACCAAATTTTAAAGTATCTAAAGCAAATGCTTCAATGAGCAGAAAGATGAAGATCAGCAACGGACGGAATTGTGATTAAAGGAGCCCCTGCCCAGGAAAAAGTGAGGCTAGCATTGCATTGTTCTTTGCAGAGGACAGAAAACAAAATTGAACTTCCTCCCACCTACCCCCAGGGAGAGGCTTAGCAGGCAACATCACTGGCTACACTGGTGGTTGAGTCTGTGGGGCCACCCAGACATACAGCCAGCCACAGACAGAGGCTTGAACTTGAAATCAAGGGCAAGAACAATGCCACTTTCTTTTAATATTTCACTTTCTTTCTTTTGTTGCTAAAGAGAAGAAGCAAAAGAGAATCCCTGCCTGCAGGTTTACCTCACTTTCCAAGAGAGAAATCTCAGGGAGGGGTGGGGGGATAAGGATCCTGCTTTTCTATGGTATTTGAACAACTGCAAATTTCCTGGCTTCCAATTACCAGTGGCGGGGAGGGGGTTAAACCTCCTTTATCACTTCTAAAATAAGACACACCTATAATTCTGCTTTTTGTCTGCCTAAATGCCACAGTACTCACGTGAGGGTACAGCCGAGCCTGCTGGCTGAGGGGTTTGCTCCCAGCGCCTGGGTTCTCACAAGAAGGGCTATTTTCTTGCAGCCAAATCAGCAAATGTGCATCTGGGTTTTCTAGTCCTGGTTTCCATGGTGAGCGGAGTAAAGGGAAGCCACCTTTCTTCTCTCTCCCCAGTGACTTTAAATGCAGTATCTGTAAAATTTCATTCTCCTCAAAATTGGTATTTCTAGTCTTTTCACAACACGGGGCTAGGAGATTAGAATCTAGACAGTGTTCTGACCCCTCCATCAGCAGCCTAATAATTAACAGTGACTCGCATTTATTGAAAGCCTGCTACAGGCTGGCATGTTCAGTGTCTTATGTTCATTTTTATTTTTATGTTCATGTTTATTTTTCTCTCAACAATCCGATGGGGTGGACTATGATTATCACTGTTTTACAAAAGGAGAATAAGAAGCCAGGTATTTTGCCCGAGATCACATGGCTAATAATTGGAAAAGTCTAGATTTAAAATAATTTGTCTGAAATTAGAAAGTCAAGCTTCTTCTGGTAATTAAAAAATGTATTTGTGGTTCTTAAGTGGTTGTAAGTCAATTCAGGTAGGCCAAGCTATGAGATGTGTTTCTTGTTTTATGAAAATTTAAATATCTGACTTTCATCACCCATTTCTTCTCTATCCAGAAGTTGCCTTTTGGTTTGGCTTTGCTTTGGTTTTTCTAAGAAGACCTGTTAAAAATCATGTTTCCAGTAATTTGGTAAATGTAGTTAATACTCTTTAAAATAATAGAGATTTGCATCTCCTCTATTAAACTATATTATCAAGCTATAATAATTAAAACTTTAAAAGTCAAAGATTAGATATTAGTTTATATATTGAGCTTACAGCAGCTTGTTGTTCCTGTGGGGTATAACTAGCAATTAAATTGAAAGAAAAATCATTCTAAAAAAGAAAAAGAAAATGGGCTCGTGGGGGAGGGGTGGGTAAACTGGTCTAGTCCCTATGGAAACATTATGGAGGTTTCTAGAAATATCAAAATGAGATCTACCATATGATTCAGAAATTCCATTCCTATGTGTTTTTCCATAGAATATAACATAATTTTAAGAGATAGATGCACTCCCATGTTTATTACGGCATTGTTTATAATAACCAAGCTGTGGAAACGACCTGTGTCCACCGACGGCTGAGTAGTAAAGATGTGGTTTATATAAACAATGGAATAGCATTCAGCTAGTAAAAGATAAAATCTCATCATTTCTGACAATATGGATGAAACTGGATTATACCAAGCAAAATAAACCAGAGAGAGAAAGGCAAATAACAGATGATTTCACTCAAATAAAAACAAAAGCAAAGAAACAGACAAAATAAAGAAGCAAACTCTGAAATCTGACTGCAGAGTTGAGGCTACCAGAAGGGAAGAGCAGGATGTGGGGAACAAAAGGCGGAGGGGACCCGTTGGGCTTTAGCGAAGGATTATGGGTTTTGTGGAAAGTGTGGTGTGGACACCTGCATCTGATTATCTTAAATGATACCTCACTGTGATATTAAATAGCATTTCTTTGACTTCTGTAAATTGCTGGTCATGATTTTTGTCCATTTTCTTCTAAGGAGTTAGTACATGTTTCCTATGTCCATCTTGTTCAGGTGTTTCTTATTGGTCATAGAAATAATTCTTGCTTTTATATAATAGAAATAGTATTGATTTTTAGTGGATTATATGTGTTATAAATATGATTTCCTATTTATCAGTTTGCTACTGATCCTCAGGCATTTTTTAACATCACCAAGAAACATTTTTTAACATCACCAAGCCATTAGTCTCTTTACTCCTCTTAGCAAGAGTCTTACTTCCAGATTTTCTTTTGGTTACTATTTTTTAGGAGCCTAGGCTATTTTCTCAGTTTATGAGAAGAAACTATAAGTATGATGGTAAAGTAGTTCTCATGTTTTGGGGATAAACATTTTTTATTGAGTTGAAAAGCAAATTTAACAGTCATTTTTAGAAAAAAAAAAGATGAAAAAAATGCCTCAAAGCAAAATATTCCCAACCTTTACCAAGAAAAAACAACTCTCTGAATATTACTTTTATGTCACCGATTTTGTTTAAAGGGTCTTTTTTCATAACATTTTTTATAGAAGTAACCTTGCTTTACACTATGTGATTCAGAGGTAGTAAGTTTACACTTCTTCAACTGTATGTTACTCTACCACATCCACCACCAAAGTTCCCATAATCCTCCACCATAGTCTGCTGGGTCCCCTTGCCTCTGTCTCCACCTGCCCACCACACAGCAACCTCAAGACTGAAGTCATATTTCTAGGTTTTGTTTTGGCATTGTTTTGTTTGTTCCTTTGTTAGGTTTTTTTTTTATGTTCCACATATTTATTTGTCTTTCTTCTGACTTATTTTGCTTAGCATCATCTGTTCCAGTTCCACCCATTTTTTTTCAAATGGCAGGACTTTATCTCTTTTTATAGTGGAGTAATATTCCATTATGTATCTACACCACATGCAGTACTCTTTATGATAGCCAAGTTATGGGAACAAGGTGAGTACCCAATGAGTGGATAAAGAAGATGGGTATATATTTATCCATATTTTAGATGTGGCTGCTTTATTATTGTCGTAATTTCATTTTATACCTAATCCAGCTCTATAGTATCTTGAATAAATATAGGTAGTAAGGATCTGGCTTTATTTTTTTAGGTTATTAAGTAATTACTTTGAGACTACATTTTAAATAAGGCCCATTCATTGATGATTTGAAATATCTTCATTGTAAGCTAAATATCTATATAAACTAATATCTATTCTGTGACTTTTAAAGTCTTCATTATTAGAGCGTGATAATGTCATTTAATAGAGGAGATGAAAATCTCTATTATTTTAAAGAAAACCTTTTTTCACACATCTTAGTAGATGAAATATAGACTATTTTCATAATTTTCTGAATAATTTCTTTTGTGTTAAATTTATAAATTAGATTTTGAGTCCTTTATGTTCTGACAAAAATCTGAAAGCCAAACAATGAATATCCTAATAGCTAATGAGCATAGTAAAAGGTGATTCAGCTTATTAGTAATCAGGGAAATGGCTAAATTACAATGTAAAGTCATTACACTCTCACTAGATTGGTGAATCATAAGGTCAGCTAATACCAATATAGAAGAGAAAGTTGAACAGAGGAATTTGGCTACATTGCCAATAGTGGTACAACCACTTTGGTAGAAATTTTCATATTACATGGTATATCTGAAAACACATATCCCAACCCCAGCCGTTTCCCTCCTGAGATATGTGAACTTTCAGGGGTCTTTCATGTACCAGAATGCTCACAAGCCCCTCACTCACAATAGTTCTACCTTGAAAACAATCCAGCTCAACAATAGTAGGTAAATTGTCATATATTCCTATAGCACTGAACATGAGCAAACTATGTGTTAGAACTTTGCTATGCCTTATTATACACATAATGTTGAGACAGGTAAACAAGACACCCAAGAAAACAAGTGGTAGATTTAACATATATGATATGTGTTTATAAGTATATGTGCACACATACACAAACATGCACTCACACTGATTATATGCACACATTTGTACAGCATGTTTTACTAAAATAGACAAAAACTAAAGTATTGCTTGGTAAAACCACAATGAGACATAATCTCACATTTGTGAGGGTGGCATATATTAAAATAAGTGCTGGAGAGGATGCAGGAGAAAAGTTACCTTTTACACTGTTGGTAGGCATGAAATCTGGTGTGACCATTATAGAAAACAATCTGAATTTACCTTTAAAAACTAAAAATGGAGATACTACGCAATCTTGCAATCCCATTCTTGGGCATATATTGGAAGAATGTGAAACTCTCAGCACAAAATTCCACATGTTCCACAGTGTCATAGCAGCATTATTTATAACAGCAGTATCCTAAATATCTATTGACAGATCAAAATATATGGTATATCCAAGCCATGGAGTATTATATAACCCTGAAAATAGATGAAAATAGAACCATTTTCAACAAAATGGAGGAAATTTGAGAGAATGATGTGCAGCAAATTAAGGCAGAATTATAAAAACAAGTACTAGACATGGACACAGCAGGCAATTGTATAACAATATGAAGACTCTGCGGTTAAAAAGTGGAGATGAAATGGGCAAAGGGAACACAAGGGGTGGTAATGAGGGAAAAAATAAATAATGTACAAAAAAAATTAAAAAGTATTGCTTATAAAGGTGTATACAGATTAATTTTAGAAAGGCAAGAAAATTCTAACGTAAAAAATCAGGGTGGTGTTTATTGCCTCTGAGGAACAGGACATCTGAAGGGAGGTCAAACCCTCAGTGTTCTCCTGAAATTTTCAGCCTTTTGAGGATTCAAAGAATTGCCCATCAGAATTATCCATCCAGCATGCTTTTGTGTGTTGCCTTGGTGTGTTTCCTTAATGTTCTACCAAAAGTCTTAGCACAATGTGGATTTCTGTTGAATAAATTAACTTCATTTCCAAAAATAAAGTAGAAGAGGAATACAACTGAATGCTTTCATAAGCTCTAAGGATGGTACAAAGCAACAGAATCCTCAGATTTAGAGTCATGTTTATTCCTTTAGTATTTTTCTCAGCACCACAGTCTTTTTATCCCTGCAGTCTCTGCAGCTTCTCTAAGTGAGATGTCTATCACCTGTCACCTGGGGCCACATGAGATGATGTGCTGTGAGACACGGACAAGGGAAAGCAAAATAAGTCTGCTTCACACTGTCTGGGGGGGATGCTGGATCAGGCCATTATCTCTAGAGTTGGATGGGGAGTTGAGACTTACAAAAAGGTGCAGTGATCCATAAAAACCCAATTCACTAGGGAGAGAGGCTTTCTTACTGCTGCTCCTGCAGGTCAATCCTGAGACATCCATATGTCACCTGTCAGATTGAATGTCATCCAGAGTTTTACTTAGAACTTGAGTGCACCAGGCAAGGCAGGCCTGTGTTCCTGCCTGGACCTGGGTCAGCACCAGAGCCAGTGTCTGGGAGACTTGACTCATCTATGCACAGCTGTCGACTAGGTAGAATTCCAGTTGTTGTGGATGTTTGCCTCTCTAGAAGAATGCCAAATATTTTAGTACATTCTAGGTATCAGGCACTATGCTGAGATTTTGGATACATTCTCTCATTTAATTTTGTACCTCTATAAAGATTGCTTTCTTATTATTCTGATTGTGCTGAGAAAAATTCTTAAGCTCGTACAGCAGTCTTGTTCATGATCACACTAAATAATGAAGATGGGATTTGAACCCACAGATAATGATGGAAACCACTGAATCCTCAATCAATTTATCAGGCTATTATTCAAAAGACAAGAATCATCAACTTTTGGACAAAAGGACCCTTTGTACCTTATTGGTGGGAATGTAAATTGGTCCAGGCATTATGGAAAGCAATATGAAGATCCCTCAAAAAATTAAAAATAGAAATTTCATAAAATTCAGCTTTCCCATTTCTGGGTATTTACAAAAATAATATGAAAACACTAATTTGAAGAGAAATAGAATTATGCCCATGTTCATTGAAGCATTATTTACAATAGCCGAGAGCTGGAAATAATTACCGTAATCATGGACAAATGAGTGACTAAGAAGATGTGTCTCTCTCTCTCTTTCTCACACTCACTCACACACACACACACACACACACACACACACACAGGAAGACTACTTAGCCATTAAAAAAGATGCATTTGCACACTGGACTATGGTGATGGCACATGGGTGATTTGGTGATGGGAAGCCCAAGCAACTAAATGGAAAAATGTACAAAATGATGTAAAAATAAACTATTATATTATTTTTTTTTAAAAAAGATGTCTTTGCAACAGTATGGATGGACCTAGAGGGTATTCCACTCAGTGAAATAAGCCAGACAGAGAAAGATAAACACTATGTAATTTTGTTCCTATTCATGTACGGTCCACAGAGAGGCAAAATAAATGAATGCAATGAAAAAAATCCACTTTAAAACTGTAAGATCAAATTAGCGGTTCAAGAAGAAAATGGGGATTTGGGGAGAGTAAACTGGGTAATGTGGTCAGTGGTATGGAGGAGGATAGAACTGGACTTTCAGTGGTGAATTTTATGAAGTCTATACACATTAATGTATAAGGATACACTTCTGAAACTTACAGAATGTTAATAATACAACATTGCTTCAGTAAAAAACTTTAATGGATTTGCTATTTTTTCATTCAACATATTTCTAGTGATGATTCTAAATGTCAGGTTCAAGACTAGACTAGTAATGTAATGGTGAGAAAGCAGATATCCCACCTGCCCTTACTTCCATTCCTACTCTACCCCTCAGGTGTCAGGTATTTTCTTGGAAGAGTATGTAGAAGGTTCTTGGTGTGTGAGTGTGTGTAGCCAGCATCAAACCGGGGGTCCTCGCTGTGGTTAAATAACCTGTGGCTTTGCCTTCCCTTGGAGAACATCCAGGGGGCTAAGTTGCAAAGTGTTGGTGCACAGAGCTGAAGTAAGACCTTCTACTCCCTATCACAGTTGCTCTCCCTCTACAGCAGGTTTAAATGCTGCTCTCCCTAGTTCCAGACCACTCAGGTGGTGAGCACATTAAGTATACATTGCTGCAAATTCTGTGTATTATTTGTCACTATAAAAGTTATGTAAGTCCTGTGCTCAGTCTTGTACTCAAATTTCTGAATTAAGACATGAAATAACTTCTCAGAATTTCTTGATTTCAGGGCCAACCACACATTTGAAGCCTAACAGGATCCAGTTTTTAAAAGTGCATGATATAAATAAGAGAACTTGTCCATGGACTTGTGAATGCCAGTGTGTGTTAGTTAAGAATGAGTCTACTAAGAAAGATTAAAATTTAGAAATTTTTGCCTGCTATGAGCAAGCTAGCACTGGGTGATAAATATCCACATAAGTGTTTATACCCTTTAACCTGGTAATTTGCTTTTGGAGGAACACGGGAAAAATAGATTTGCTGATGTCTCAGGGAGTAGAAAATGACCTCACTTTTTTTTTTTTTTTTTTTTTTTTTTTTTTTTTTTTTTGGTCTCCAGCACCTGAAATGTTCAACTCGAGGAGAGAAGCAGGCTATTCCTTTGCAGTGGACTGGTGGTCACTGGGAGTAACCGCATATGAGCTGCTAAGAGGCCGGGTATAGTAGATGTGCATGTCTCTTTGGGTACTCTCCAACACATTCCATTTTTCAAAAACATGCAGTTTGTTTAAAAGGTAAAAGCAGCTATGCCGTGTGATGCTGGTAACTTCCCTTGGGATTTCACCACACATTAATTTACTTTCCTACATATGCAACCAAGCATGTGAGTTAGCATTAAATTATATAGATACAATTAAATGAAAAATACACATATAAACTCCCAGCAATGAGAAATCAATCCCCTCCCCCCGGCTAAATATACGTGTTAGTGTAAAGAAAGTAATTTTGCAGTCGTGGTGTAGGACTCTAATTCACATACACTTCCCCAAGGTACGTGTGAAATTTTAATATAACACAATTCATGCCCTGTCTTGTTGGATTCCTGTCTTGTTGTTTGCCTTCTAGGTTCAGTGGCAAGTAGAGTAGTTTCCTTTTAAAAGAAACATTTCTTGAATGAAGAAAATGCTTAGGAAGCATTTTGCTAAGAAAATATTTTTCTCCCACTCCCTCTGTGGTAGTTTCCTGTTAACTGGTGTGTCCATATTGCTATATTCATTTTTTCCTAAATCAATGAACCAAACATTCTCCCAGTTTCTCCTTTCCCCTCTCTCTCTCTTTCTCACACACAGACAGACACATACTCTACAGATGCTCTAGTTTATCATTATTTGCACATTAGCACCAGGTTAACATCCTGGACTTTGCTGCAATTTAAACAGTTCTGAACCCTGACCCTCCCCAAATTCACTTTGGCCTTTTTGGATTCCCTCCTCTTCTGAGAGCATCCTGTAGTCTATTTTTTTAATTTAATTTAATTTAATTTAATTTTTTTACTTCTTGTTCCTTTACTTATAAAGGTTTTCCCCAAGATAATCCCTGGGCTTCTTTAAAAAATCATTCTTCAAGAATCAGCATAGTCAAGATGACCATTGTACTGAAATATTATACAATTTCAATGCAATCCCTATCAAATCTTACTGGCATTCTTTAAAGAAATAGAACAAGCATTACTGAAATTCATATAAAGCCATAGAAGATACTGGAGAGCCAAAGCAATCCTGACCAAAAAAGAGAGAGGAAAAAAAAAATGGTAGCGTTACATTTCCAGATATCAAACTATACTATAAATCTATAATAATTAAAACAGCATAGTACTGGAACAAAAGTGGACACACAGACCAATGGAATAGAATTGAGATCCCAGAAATAAGCCCACACCTACATACACAGTTAATATACAACAAAGGAGCCAAGAATAAACATTAGAGCAAGGAAATTCTCTTAATAAATTGTGTTGGGAAAACTACATGCATGCAATAGAACAATATCTCACATCCCATTCAAAAATCAAATCAAAATGAATAAAAGACTTGGATGTAACCACAGAATACATAGGAGAAAACATGGACAAAGCACTTCACAAAGTAAACTACAGTGATATATTTGCAGGTATGTCTCCAACAGCAAGGGAAATAAAACAGAACATTAACAACTGGAACTACATTAAAGCAAAATAAAACACAACTAAGACAAGAATATATCCAACTGAATGGGGAAAAAAATATTTGCACACTATGCATTTGACTAGGGGCTGATATCAAAGTATACAAAGAACTCAAACAATTCAACAAAAGACAACACATAATCCAATTGAAAAATCAGCAGACTATCTAAATAAGCACTTTTTTTTTTTTAAAGATTTATTTATTTGTGCATACAGAACTGGGGCACAGGCCAGAGGCTCAGGGGCGGTGAGAGGCTTCACCAGAGACAGAGTGGGGAACAGAACAGGCAGATCAACGAAGTACACTGCTGAGGGGAGCAGCGGGCGGGTCAGGAGAGGTCTGCCACGCCATGTGGCCTCCTCCAGGGCAGGCGGGAATCGAACTCATGCAGAAGCGGCTTTAGATTCTCAGTGCTGTGCTTTAACCCGCTGCGCCACCAGGGAGGGCCTAAATAAGCACTTTTTAAAAGAAGACATACAGATGGCCAACAGGCAATTGAAAATAACGTTCACTGTCACTTAGTCACTTATCAGGGAAATGCAAGTCAAAACCACAATGAGATACCACCTCACTACTGTGAGAATATCCCATATCAAAAAGATCAGAAACAAGAATTAGGGCCTATGAGATATGGAGGGGAAAAAAATGAACCCTTTTACACTGTTGGTGGAACTATAAACTGATCCAGCCCCTATGGAAAGCAGTGTGGAGTTTCTCAAAAGATTCAAAATGGATCTACCTATGACCCAGCAATTCCACTCCTCAGTATCTATTAAAGAACATAAATGCACAATTCAAATGTAAACTAGTGCTTCCACATTCATTGTTTTATTATTTTATAATAACCAAGCTCTGGGGGCCATAACCAAAATGGCCCCCAGACATTCTTGATGAATACCTCAAGAAGAGGTGGAATACTACTCAGCAATCAAAAAGATATGTGCTTGCTATTTGCAGTTAACATGGATGGAACTGGAGGTGATTATGTTAAGTGAAATAAGTCAGAGGAGAAAGAAAAATATCAGATGGTGCCACTTATATGTAGAATAGAAAGAAATCAGACAAGGTGGCAGATAAAATCAAACTCAAAAACTAGTCCTTGAAAGTTGACTAGAGAACGGAGACATTTAGAGGGGGAGGGGAAGTCAGGGAAAGGAAGGAGCAAGCACAAAGTGGGAGGGATCACAATGGACTGTGCTAGTGGGCCATGGATGCCTGGTGGTGGGAATGCTATGGCAACATCACCAGAAGGGGATGATCTTGCATGTCTAAAACGGAAACAATGTTAAGCCAGCATTACTTCAATTGGAAAAAAAAAATGTTCTACTAAGTTTAGGATCACTGCAGTTAAAAATATCTAATTCTTCCCAACTTGTAGGGAATTTACCTTCTTAGGTAAGTTTAAAATTACTGAAAACCATATAAAAATACAAAGTTGAAGTTAAAAACCAACCTCTCCAAATACAAAAACCCATCCCTAAACCTCTCTTCCACGCCAAAGAAAACTCCCAAGTTAAAAAAAATTAGATTTTCCTTTCAATATCCAATCCCACCTTCTTCCAAACCTTTCAAACCTTTTTTTTTTTTAAGATTTATTTATTTATGTATACAGAACTGGGGTACAAACCAGAGGTGTGGTGGGTGAGAGGGTTCACCAGAGACAGAGTGGGGAGCAGAACAGGCCGACTGACAAAGTACACTTCTGAGGGGAGCAGCAGACTAGTCAAGAGAGGTCGCCATGCCATGTGGGTCACCTCCCTGGCCGAGGATCAAACTCATGCTGCAGTGGCTTCAGAGAGCTTCATAATCCAGTGCTTTACCCCATTGTGCTACCAGGGAAAGCCCTCAAACCTTTTTTACATTTATAAACACATCTTTCATACATGTGTATGTATTATCATTATTGTATTTAGCAAGAAATACATCATGCTTTATCTTTTTGGCAAGACTTTTTTCACTTAGTCTACTATTTCACTTTTAGGATTAAATCCACTTGGTAAATATATTGCCCTTGTAATTTTTTCTGGGGATACCAAATTTTATATTTTTATCTCTTCTGCATTACGAAATTGCAAATTTATTAAAGCTGAAGCCCATTATCTGCTAGAGTTTGATATTATCCACAGTACTCAACTTCAAATAGTTGCATAACAAATTGACTGAATGGAGGAAGGACTCACCACAAATCCTTCTAGGATTCCTAGAAGGACACTTTCTAGGAATCACCAACTAGCTTGGCTCATTAAGTTTCAAAATATGCTAATCTAAACAAACAAAATAACAGCATTTAACTGTAAGTATCAATGCTGCTAAACTGGGAAAATATGATGCACACGATGATGTGGTCTGCACGTAAAGATCCTTATTTACGAAAACACATGCCTCAAGAGACATGTACTTGAACACATGTCTGTCACTCTGAGCTTGATGGAGTCTTCACGTTGGTGGCCCTTCACCATCCCCACTCCATCCTTTCTGCCCCCCACACCCTGCCGCCTCTGTTATGAAGGCAGGGTCCACATCTTTTTTAGTTCCTGGTTATCCAGCAGGTTGGCTTATGGTAGGCACAGGGGCAACATTACCCACTGTCCCTCCTCCACTGCCAGCTCTCACTTCCATGCTCTTGAGAGAGGACCACAGTCACCTGTTGTCCCCCAGCTAACATTCTACCTGTTGATTACCAGCCATCTAACTGTTCATGTCTATGCTGACTCAGGTCGTTTGATGTTTGCCATGGCACACAGCAAAGTGCCTTTCACGCACGTCTGTGCATGCAGTTCTGAGCAACTGGAGACTCCCCAAGTGCAGCACAAGTTCCACAATGCAACGATCATGCCACAATACAACGATCGTTCAAGGTGATGAACACATTGTTGTTCATCATCCCCCACTGCCCACCACATGCTGGAGTGGTGTCGGCAGTCAACCAATATTTGGTCAATGACTGAATAAGTACACAACTCTAGTAATTGATGAATGAATGTGGATTTTAAAATGTAGAAATAGAAACAAAGCGATATAGGTAAAAGATGATCCAAACTGTTATAAAATAAAAAAAAAAAAGAAGATCCTTTAAGTAAGTCCATAGATGGTGAGGATTTTTTAAATATTTAATTGTGCGGCCTTCTCAAGGAAATGAAAAAAATGGCTTGTGGCCCATACATGAAATGACTGAAGTTTATCAAATCACTTTAGGTATGATGGCGTCTTCACGGAGGTGGCCTGTTTTGATACCCTGTTTTAGGTATCAAGAAACAGTAGATATAGAAGTTGCTGTGAATTGAAGGAAAATATTCAAAATAAAAACATGTTCATAGACTGATAACCCCGGAAGTTTACCAACCTACGCAGCCTGAGGTAGACTCAGAAGGAACTAGCGTACTGATCAGCAGTGGCCTGGCCTGGACACAGCCTGTGAGCCAGGCAAGAGAGAGGGAGCTGGCCCTTGGGTGGCTGCATGACTCCATCACCAAGACAAGTGAACTGACCAAGGGCCTTAATTCCACTTTGAAGGACAAAATATGTGAGTGACTTCTCGGCCAGCCTCCCTGTTATGGGGTCACTGCCTAGCACTTCCTGGCTTTCCCATGTCCAATGCACACATATTGCTGTTCACTGCCCACCTTTATATGCACCCTTTTTACCCTGAGTCAATTATATTAAAATATCTCTCCTGCATTGTATCTCATACATATTAGCCACTCTATTGAAAACTTAATGTGTATTATGTCTTTAATTTCCTTACAGTCTCATGCATTGTATCTAATACGTATTAGCCACTCCATTGAAAACTTAAAATGTATTATGACTTTAATTTCCTTACAGGCTCATGAGGTGGCTCAATTTGCAGATGAAGTAGCTTCGTCTTCTACATGAAGGAATTGAGTGACTGAGTTTAGCACTCAAATTCTTTTGCCTTCAGATTTCAAATATGGAATCACATTTAGATTACCTATTAAAAGTTCTTGGCCATGGGGGAGGGGGAAGTAAAATGCTTCCTTACTCCCAAGTTATCTCATTACGCTCATATTTATTCAGTACTTCAGAAGGACCATGCCTTGGTAAATGTGTGTATCCCTATTTACTGTCGTAGTGCTGGTAAACTAACATGAACATTTTGTTCATTTAACAAACATAACAAACACTTACTAGGAACTAGATTCTAGGGGGGAAAATGTCAATATGGCATAATGTTTGGCTTTAAGTAGCTCATAGTTCATGTAAAAGAAGTAAAATTTCTAAAACATTCCTTTAGGATATTCAGGCCTACAGGCATATGAAAAAATGTTCAGCATCATTTATTATAAGATAAAAGCAAATTAAAACCACACTGAGCTAGCACCTCACCCCTGTGGGAATGGCCCATATCAAAAAGAACAGTATTAACAAACGTTGGCAAGTTGCTGTGATAAGTAAAGAAGCTCACATGTACTGTTGGAGGGAATGCAAGCAGGTGTGAACCCTGTGGAAAACAGTAAGGGGATTTCTCAAGAAAATAAAAATGGAAATGCCATATGATCCAGTAATATTGCTATCAGGTGATATCCAAATAACATGAAAAACCTAATATGAAAGATCTATCTATACCTCTGTACACGGCAGCACTGTTACAGTTGCCAAATTATGGAACCTACCCAAATTTCCTTCAACAAATGAATGAATAAAGAAATTGTGGAGCATATATTCCATGGAAAATTATACAGCAGTGAAGAAAAGTGAAACATAGCATTTGGGACAGAGTGAATGGGTCTTAATGTGATTATATTGAGTGAAATCAGTATAAGAGTGAAAGACAGGTTTGGAATTATTTCACTCATCAACAGAATGTAAATACCCAAAAATCAACTACACACAAGTGGCAGAAGAAACAAAAACTTGAACCTGCCAGAAAGAAAATAATGGTTACCAGAAGGAATAGGAGAAGGAGTGGAAGGGATAGGGGATGGAGGAAGATGAGTTATATGCATAAGTGGTTAGGTAGAGGGGGAAAAAAAAAAAAAGAAAGAAAACAGATGGACCTCAATCTTATTTATACAGAGCAACATTGAAAAAAAAATCACAGACCTCCCTCATGGCCTACAGATAAGTCTCAACACTGTCAAGCTATCACCGGCTGCTGCAGTGTGAGTCTGATCCTACGCCACATGACACAGCAGACTTCTCCTGGCTTGCCCCTCTCAGCAGTGTGTTTCAGTGACTATGCCTGTTCTGCTCCCCTCTGTCTCTGGTGAATCTTCTCATCCCTCCTGCTTCCTCACCTCTGGCCAACTCCCCAGCCCTTGATGCATAAATAAAATAAATTTTAATTTTTTTAAATTGCTATTACTTTATAAAGAACTGAACTCAGCAGTTTAAAAAACCCAATCACAAAATGGACAAAATAACTGAACACTTCAGAAACTTCTCCAAGGATATACAGATAGCCGAAAAACAAATGAAAAAAAAAAGTGTACATCATCACTTATTAGGGAGAAGAAAAATAACGCCTTAGACCATCAAGAAACTAATATAGGTAAATGCTGCCCTCTAGTGGATAACTAGGAAAACTGTTACAAAGTCATTTGATTCTTTCCCCTAAGGTAAAACTACAAATAAACCTGGTTCTCTCAGAAGTAACAATACTTACAAATCATCAAAAAATGTGATACTTTACCCTATAGAGTTCAAATTCATAGCACTTGAATTCTGGATTCACATTTTCTGGACAAATTTCTGTCCTGCATGAATTCATTTTGCTTCCAACAAGTAGAAAGAGGCACAGAGTAAGACTGACTTTATAACCAGCACTTAGATAATGGGTTTATGGGTGGGGGGTGGGGAGGACACTTCCATTTACTTATTCACTATTTTAAGTAAAGAAATATAGGTCATTTTACTACACAGTTCCAAAGTGGCATCTCAGAGGTGAATTTAGCCCACAGAAATGTTTTATCCAGCTCAGCACATTCTAACTCTAAAAATTCTGAGATTTCATAAGAAACTAGATTTCTAGTACTTAAGTAGGAAATCTGGGAAAACTGATCATATATTCATATGTCACCATGACATTCATCTGGAAGAATTAAAACAACTATCCTGAAATTTTAACTGGTTGAAATTTGAGCTGGAAACATTTGTACAATGTTCCTTTCATCTACACAATAAAAATAAAGGCATTTTCTCTTCCTAAAGAGGCCATATCACATTCGCTCCAGTACTTCCAGCAAGGAAATTGCCCATATGTTTGAGACAGCTATTGTGACTTATCCGGCTGCCTGGTCACAGGAGATGGTGTCGCTTCTTAAAAAGGTAAGGTCAAGACTGATTCAAAAAGACACCTGCACCCCATGTTTATTGCTGCTCTATTTAAAATAGGAAAGACATGGAATCTACCCCCAATGCCCAAAAGTAGATTAAAAAGATGTGGTACATATACACAGTGGAATATTACTCGGCAATCAAAAAGATAAACACCTGCCTTTTACAGCAGCATGGATGGAGCTGGAAGGGATCATGCTTAGTGAAATAAGCCAGAAAGAAAAAGAAAAATACCAGATGGCTTCACTCATAGCAGGAGTATAAAGGACTCAGGGGTGGGGGAAGGGGATAATAATAATGAACAACTCTATACCAGAGAAATTTTACATTGGTGGAGTGGGGATTGGGATCAAAAATGGGCCTGGGAGTACACTGGACTATAGTGATGGCACACGGGTGAATTGGTGATGGGAAGCCCAAGGGGATGACAACTGAGATGGAAAAAGGCACAAAATTATGTAAAAATAAACTATAATAATAATAATTTTAAAAAAAAAGGTAAGGAGGACCTCATAATAATTGGGGTGATAACAAAGGTGGGCTTTCTGGCTGGAGGTCAAAAGTCACTACTAGAAGTTGCCGTGATGATGGACAAGTCTGGAGTGGGGTGTGTAGCTTAACAGTTTAAACACCTCACCTGTTCTTTTTATCTTCCAACTCCATTTCAGTCTCAATGTTCAAACAGGAATTCTTGATCTTTCAATATCTCTTGGACTTTTTCTCGCTATGACTGGCCTCCCCACCCATCACCATCATCCACATTCCCGCTATCACCCCCACACCCAGTCCATCATCAAATTCAGTAATTTGGCCTTTTAAGTATCTTCTGAATCTGACTCTCACTTCTCGCCCTGTCCAGTCTCTACCCAAGACCCTAAACCTATCAAATCTTGCCTTACAGCTGGTTTTCCTCTATAAACATTAACACATGCATTCTGCTCTCCCCTCCCCCAATGCAATCTGTTCAAAACAAAGTTCATTGTCTTCCCACTGTTCCAAAATGAAGATCAAGATCATTTGTTTGGTATAAAGTTTCTAGTGCCCTCTGGAGCCTCATTTTGGCTTTTGTCTCCTTTTGACTATTCACACACCGCTTTGACCTTCATTTCTCTTCTCCAGCTCTCCCACTTCACACTGGTATTTCTCTCACCACAGGGCCTTTAAACAGGCTAGTTTCTTTGTGTGGAACACTGCCCCATCCCAGTTCTCCCAGCTCTCTCTCTGAGACTCAATGTGATTCCTTGATGGACTCAAGTCCATGAATTCCTTCCGATACATCCATGACAAATGTGGGCAAAGATTTTATAACATCTTGATATTGCTGATGCCTGTAAACATACTGTTGGCGGACTCATCTTAATGAACAGGGCTCAAGGTTACTTCTTAATGTCAGACTCAAATCACAAGTCACATAAAGTCTGGAGTTGCACACTAGCCATGCAATGGCACGTCAGTTTCTGTGGGGGCAGAAATGACAACAAACAAATCATCAAACAAAGAAACATAACTGGCCCATTTAGATAGGTAGGTGGAGAGGTGCTGCTTGAGGCCTCCTGCTCACATCCCTGGTGAGCCTTTCTGTTGTCCCTCACTCTGCGCTCTCTGCCCTTCATAGCATTTCCCCAGCTGGAATCCTCCATTACATGTGTGTGGAGCTCGGGTTAAGGGTCATTTCTGTAGGCCGCATCACAGGGTCCTGTCCATCTGTCCACCCTAGTATGCTCAGGAGCCAAAATCTGGCATTTGAATAAACAAGGATCATAGCTTTTTTAAAAGAAAGATTTATTTATTTATGCATACAGAAGTGGGGTACAGCCAGAGGTTCAGGGGCGATGACTGTTCAGAGACAGAGCGGGGAGCAGAACTGGTGAAGTACACTGCTGAGGGGAGCAGTGGGCGGGTCAGGAGAGGTCTGCCGCGCCATGTGGGTCACCTCCAGGGTGGGATCGAACTCATGCTGAAGTGACTTTAGTTTCTTAGTGCTGTGCTTTAACCCACTGTGCCACCAGGGAGGGCCTGGTTCATAGCTTTTATTGGACTTTTAAGGTGTCTTTGTTCACCAAAAGATTAAGAACAGAAAGATTAGGAGCTCAATGGTGTTTTAAGATTATGTGGAAGAAAGAATGAGGAGCCCAAAGAGGTGAACTGGGTTTTGGGTTTTCCTTTTTTTTCTGGAGAAGATTACATGGCGTGACTGGTCACAGAAAAGAACTTCTGAGCTATGGATTCAAATACGTCTCTTGTCTTTGGCATGAATTGCTCTGCTTTGGAATAGGTTCCTGCCATTGGGGAGGTCAAAGGTGAAGAATAGGGGATCATTTCCTATCAGCAAATTTTCCTCCATCCAAGTCAGCTCTCTTCACCCCCAAGGCTGCACCCTGAGGCCCTCGGCTGTAACCTTGAGGAGGATGTCCAAGGGCAGCTGAGAACTGTCATTGGAACCATGGGCTTGGGGGGCCTGGGCTGATGTTGGCTGTAGGGTGGCTAGGGGAGAAAGGAGGAATCTTTAATCCCACTTAATAAAACCCAGAACTATAACAATAACCCTCATCACCTCTTATTTGTGGCACCTCAATGTAGTTTGATTAGCTATAAAAGCACCCAAAATTGTTAGTGGGTGATAGATTTCACTTGTGAAAACTGATAAACTCTCACTCCAAATAAAAGCAGGTCAACTCTTAGGCACTATATCTACAATTTGATTTTGCTCATTTATCTAAGCTGTGACCCGATGAAATAGGCTATTATCCCTTTTGATAGATGGATAAACTGAGGTCTAGAGAACAAACTCGCCCTAGTTGGCTACTAGGAGACTCGGAAGTCAAAGATAGGTTTGCCTCAGTAGAGAAAGTCATTTTTACTCAGTACATTGCAAAAGCCAACTCAAGGTTCATCCTAGCCAGGCCTCACTGTCTAATGTGTTTGTGGGGCTGGGAAGTGCGGGCACCATCTTGCTTCCTCAACCAGAACATTTAGAGAAAATCTGTATTTTTTGCTCTCTCTTTTGACCTTTCCGCTGACCCTGACACTCTTATTCCACTGGCAGCTTATGGAGCCTAATCCAGACCAACGGTTTTCTCACTTGTCGGATGTTCAGAACTTCCCGTATATGAACGACACCAATTGGGATGCGGTTTTGCAAAAGAGGCTCATTCCAGGTTTCATCCCTAACGTGAGTCATTCCTAACAAGCTAGTCCCTCTCTTATGGGGCATGTTCCCGGTGCCCAGTACACCCCTGCCCTCACCAGGCCTGTGCTGTGCGTCACACAGCCCATCTGCCCATTTACAGGTGAGGGAGGGGAGGACACACAGCAAGCGTGTCACCAGAGGCCACACTGCCAGCAAGTGGTCAACCGGGGTTCGAACCCAGACCTGGAGTTCTGGTTCCTAAGTGCCACTTGCGCCATGCTTTCCTTGAAAAGAAGCCCTAGTCCTCCCAACAGACTTCTCCACGCTCTGCTCATTGCAAAATGTAATGTTTTCTCTGATTCCAGAGATGGAGAAACTTGTATCTGTGGCTTCTGAGGCAACAGATTTAGAACTGTTGGGATTGGAGTGAGGGATTTATTCTCATCATCCACCCCTCTTCCTCTGGCCCTCTGTGAGGGGAGACGTACTCATAATGACTGACAGCAGGAAGAACAGTCCCCAGGGCATGAGGCCCTGACTGAGCCACATGTGGGCAGACCACTGGCCCAGGCAGAGTCCAGGAGCTGAGACCAGGAGCCCTGACAGGACTCTGGCTCCTCGGCTGCACAGCCTCCATGTAGATTCCCTTGTATGTAGTTTGGTGGAACAGTGAGCCCGCAGAGACAAGGCCGTCTGCTGTTCTTCAAACCAGCAAGATGCTAGCTGTGAGCATGTGTGCTCTGCCTGTGTGAGGCCTGGGGTGAGCACTTGGTGGGGGAGCCTGAACGCACCCTGTGACCACAGAGGGAGACGGGGTGTGGTGCTCAGCTGGGGAGTCGTGCCTCAGCGTTCCATAGGAAGCTGAAGGAGGGTCCTGGGGCAGCAGCTTGAGCTGCCATGACAGCTGACATGTTGGGGTCCACACAGTACGTAGGTGCTTCTCTCCCAGCACCTCCTGTGTGACCAGCCCTTGGCGCTGCCTCATGAATAAGCAGATGTCAGATTCACCATGAATCTGAATCACCCGGAGAGCTTGTGGGACATGTAACTATGGGTACACAGGTTGACAAACACCAATTTAGGAGGTTCCTGGGACACTGGGAGTCAGAGCAAAGAAATCAGTGATTCTCATCTACGGGATTGTTAGAATACGCTTGGAGAAGCATAAACCAAAACCTAAAGTTCAGGAAAATAATTGTCATTCAAATTCTTTTTTTCTTTCTGAAAGATTATTTTGTTTATGCATACAAGAACTGGAGTACAAGCCAGAGATGCAGGGAGTGAGAGGATTCACCAGAGACAGAGTGGGGAGCAGAACAGGTCACCAGAGACAGAGTGGGGAGCAGAACAGACAGATCAACTGAAATCTACTGTTAAGGGGAGCAGTGGGTGAGACAGGAGAGGTCTGCATGTGGGTCACCTCCCTAGCCAGGGATCGAACCCCTCTTGCTGTGGTGGCCTGTATCTTCAAAGGGCTGTGCTTTAACCCCTTGTGCCACCAGGGAGGCCCTCATTCAATTTCTTTTGCAACTCATGGAGGGCTTGTTGGGAGTTTGAGCAACAACAAAAAATTAACACCTAAAACTATGAACAACAGCGCTGGTGATCGTTTATCTAAAATTAAACTGGGGATCCCAGCCTGTTGTCCTTAGCCAGCGCTAGGTGGGGTTCAATCCGGGATATTTTTAGAACCATAAACAGTCTGAAGAATGGGCTGCCCTGTCTCCCTTGCAGAAAGGGAGGCTGAATTGTGACCCTACCTTTGAACTTGAAGAAATGATCTTGGAGTCCAAACCACTTCACAAGAAAAAGAAGCGGCTGGCAAAGAAGAAGGAGGAGATGCGGAAGTGCGATTCATCTCAGGTAAGCTGCCCGACACACTGGGAGGGGTGGAGAGCCCCACCAGGACAGTGCTCCAAGATTGCTGCTGGCCTGGCAACTGCCCACACCCGCCCCTTCAGGCTCAGCTAGAGGCAGGACACAAGACAGCGCCCTCCTCTGGCCAAATCTAACAAGTGTCTGCCTTAGTAATGGTCATGATAGCTATAGGTCATCGCCAGCCCTGTCCCAGTGCAACTCAAGGGCCTGGTGATCCATCACCACACAGCCCCCAGCCAGGAAAGACCCAGAGGTTGGCAAGGAAATTCCAGTCAAGTCACAAGCCTGGGAAAGAGGCCAGAAACCCACTGTGGTCATTTCTGTAGCATCACATTGTCTCCTGACACCAACCTTTATCCCTGTTTCTGGGGGGTACAGGGTTTCGGGGGGTCAGGTGGCACTTAGTCATTCCCCACACATGCTGTCTACTTTTCCACTTGGTACTTCATTAAAATGCACAGTTTTTAGCATTTTATACTGATTAATCATAGTAATAAGGCCATCATTTCCATTTAAAAATATACTTTAAATATTTATTCTATAGACCTGTTGGTTTATCCAGTCAGCCCTTTTGGTTAAATCACTTTGTCAAGAGATACCAGAGAGAGAAAGAGAAGTTGTTTGGGGTGTGTGTGTGTGTGTGTGTGTGTGTGTGTGTGTGTGTGTGAGTGTGTGTGTGTTCTAAAAAGCTTTTTTAGGAAGGGAATCCTTAATTGCCTATTCTGGGAATGAGGAAAGACCCAAATATAATATTTTCAAACAAAGTAGATGGAGATATATTTTCAGAGGCAGAGAGACAGCCATATTTATGAATGGATTAGAAAATTCATAGAGGAAATTACTCTCTTCCAACTCCTATCTGCATAATGAATTTATATTTCTGACAATGCCTAAGCAAGCATTTCATCTGTTTGCTATTTAATTCTTGCATGTAGAGATCTGGGGGTATATATTTTTTTTGAAAAATTTTATACACAATATATGGCCAAGCATATGGCCAGTGGGTTAATTCTTGCATGTAGAGATCTGGGGGTATATATTTTTTTTGAAAAATTTTATACACAATATATGGCCAAGCATATGGCCAGTGGTCATTCACACACATTGAAATGAGTGTGCTCCCAGTTGCTTTGTTAAATAAGAAGTCTAGTAGAGTTGTTTTTGTTTGTTTGTTTTATCTTTTATGTGGGAAATAGGGGCAAAAAGAATAGTGCCTCTGATGTCTTCCTGAACTTGTAAAAATAATACAGGTACTTGCCTCTTTGGTAAAATGGGATATAAATGTGAATTTGGCCTGCCCAACATATTATTTAATATTTATTTATTTACACATACAAGAATTGGGGTACCAGCCAGAGGTGTGGAGCATGAGAGAATTCATCAGAGACAGAGTGGGGAGCAGAACAGGCAGACTGACTGAAATAAATACACTGCTGAGGGGAGCAGTGGGGGAGACAGGAGAGGTCTGCTGTGCCATGTGGGTCAGTTCTCTGGTGGGACTCAAACTCGTGACTGCAGTTAACTTCATAGTATTGCACTGTAACCTGGTGTGTCACCGCTATATTATTAATAAGAAGTCCAGTCAACATCCTACATATGCTAGAGAGTAGGATTCTCTTCCATAGGGTTTACCAACAACCTCTGAAGCCCAACTTCACAAGAGTTTTTTCTTAAGATTTATTTATTTATGCATACAAGAACAGGGGTGTAGGCCACAGGTAAGGTGAGAGGCTTTACCAGAGACAGAGTTGGGAGCAGAACAGGTGGATCCACTGAAATACACTGCTGAGGGGAGCAGTGGGCAGGCGAGGCAGGAGAGGTCTGCTGCTTCCTGTGTGGAATGGAGAGTTGAAGTGAGTGCTGCAGTGGCTGTGAATAGCTTCATAGTGCTGAGATTTAACCCCTTGTACTACCAGAGAGGACCCTAGAAGAGATTTTTTTAGTAATGGTTTGCTATGTTCTATTTTCCCTAAAGTAATATAGACCTTTATGGTCTTACAACTGTAAAGGACATTTTCTCCTTCTCATATTGTGAGGACTCCTCTCACCCACATTTAGAAGGATCTGTGGTGTGTCCAGGTCAGGACCCCGAGTACTGAGTACTGAGCAGAACAAGGCAGGCCTGGAAAGCCCCACATATAACGAGAGAGATGAGAAAAGGCTCAGATGGGTTCCTTAAAAACAGAGTATAGAACAATCTGAAATGCTGGTTCCTACGTGTTGAATAGTCACTGTTCACACAGCCAAGGAAGGAGCAAGGGGATAGTCAACTCTTGAGAAATCTTAAATGATCGAGTGATCCATTAGAGAGTCCATTTTATTTCTCTCCACTGAGAGCCACCATCTCCTGTGAGTTCTTGCCTTGACAAGGTGAGCTGTTTACACAGGTTCCTTACTAAGGTGATTGTTCACAACGTAATAATTTTATGCTAAAGTCCTATAACCCAAGTAAACATTAATTCCTGATGGCTCATGGGTTAAAATCTCAGCGCTAGCAAGATATCCCCAGCCACTGTGGCCAGAGTTTGATCCCTGGCCAGGGAGGTGACCCCCATGGCACAGCAGACCTCTCCTTTCTGGCCTGCTGCTCCCCTCAGCAGAGTATGTCAGTGGATCCACCTGTTCTGCTCCCCATTCTTGTCCCTGGTGAATCCTCTCACCCCTTACTCTTCACACCTCTGTCTAGACCCCAGTTTTATATGCATAAATAAAAATAAATCTTTAAAATGTAATAAAAGTAAAGTATAAGAGTAGTAATAGGAGCTTCGTCCTACAACTGACCTAAGGAGGATGTCAGTGTTGGCTGTCAGGCATGATGTGGATTTCTTAGATGCTGTCGCCCCGTGGGCCCCTCCTCCTCTAGGTATCTGCAGAGTCGTTCTCAAACTTAGCATCATCCTAGAACCATCTGGGGAGCTTTTGAAAAAGACTGGTGCCTGGGTCCCACCCAGAACCAATTGCATTTAATCTAAAATTAATTTAATTTTAAAATTTCTTCAGATGACTATTTCTAAACATGTCGTTAAAGTTGAGATCCATGGTCTAGGATTCAGGATGTGACTATACAGAGCACAAGCACTCAGAGCTTCCTTTCCCCTGAGTCTTAGCTTCCTCACGCATGAAATGGAGGTAACGCTGGTGTCACTTCGGGACATGTAAACAGCGCCTGGCAAATGTCAGCGGTTGCTGTGTCTGCTTCACTCCTCTGAGTTCCTAATGCTCTTCTTTTCCATGGGTCTTGTTCATTTTCATGAGCGCTACTTCTGCACTTTCTTAGCTTCCAAAATATTCGCTGCTTTCTTCCTCTCTACTCACATCTTTAACGTATATAACCAAGATGGCGGCTCGCCGCACCCCTGATCCATCTGCCACTGGGGCAAACAGCCTCAGTCAGGACTTGCTGCCTCCTGGGATTTCCACCTGCTCCAAATCCTTGATATTTCTGGCACACCTCCATATACCAGTTTAATCAGATTGCTCTGTTGTTCCCTGGGAAGCAAGTTTTAGGACTTTGGGAAGGGATACAAGTGTGGTGAAGTCACATTAAGACACACTTGCCCTCAGCTCTGCTACCTCCGCTCTCCACCTCTAACCCCTAGTCTTCCCTCCTTTTCCCCTCCCATGTGGCTATATTTAAATTTCCCCCCTAAAGCAGAGGAAAGATAGGCAAATCCCTTCTGTGAACTTGAGCCCTTCAAGGGACAGAAAGAGGACTGAAAGAGGTTGCAACTCAGAAACTCCCCTGAGTGTCCATTCGCTACCTTTGTTTAAATGAAACAGAGGGCCTCCCTGGTGGCGCAGGAATGAAGTCTCAGCACTATGAAGCAATCCGCACAGTTACTGCAGCATGAGTTCAGTCCCCAGCCCCGGAGCTGACCCACATGGAGCAGCAGACCTCTCATGTCTCACCCACTGCTCCCCTCAGCAGTGTATTTCAATAGATCGGCCTGTTCTGCTTTCCACCCTGTCTCTGGGGAATCCCGTCACTGCCCCCCATCCCCACCACATCTCTGGCCTATATCCTAGCTCTTGTATGAGTAAATAAATAAAAATATAAATATATATAAATATATTTGTGAGCCATGGTTTAAAGCCATGGTTTCCTCTTGGTAAGTGTTTGGAAGGAATCAAATTCCTGAAGTATAAAGCAGGTAGGTCTACGTTGCTGGCTCATTGTGGGAGCAGAATATGAAGTGTTGAGTCTTTCGCTTCTGTCATCCTGGGTCAGGCTCCCTCCTGCCAGGGCTATCAATGGCGCCCACCCCGCGGACACATCAGGGCTGGCAGTCAGCAGACACTGGTGGGCTGTGGCGGGCAGAGGGTTCCCGCTAGCTTGCTAACTACATCTCCTTTTCTCCAATGGTCGCCTGGAAGATGTGCCTTCTTCAAGAGCATCTGGAATCTGTCCAGAAGGAGTTCATCATTTTCAACAGAGAAAAGTGAGCAGTTCCTGGAGGAAGAGGGTCCAGCCCCTGGTGGGGGGTTCAGCCAGAATTTACTGGCAGAGCCTTTGTATACTTTAAAGTCTTCTTTCTCATTGCATACATCATGCACATCCATAACAGAAAATCTGAAATCTCAGAAAGCTTTTTTTAATTAAAAGAAATTTCAAGCATTGCAATAAGTAAATTAGCATAGCATCAGTTTTCTGTTTACAAGAGGATAGAAGAATTGGGACTTCCTCCCTTAAAATCAATGATGTTTCTAAGTTCGTCTCTATGGGGCCTCCTTATAAATGGCTGGGTTTAATGCTATCACTTCAAGGACTTACATTCTTCCCTCTTTCCACTGAATAAATTTCCTGTTGTTTTTTTCCCTCCTTTCAAGAGTAAAGAAGGACTTTCATGAACAACAAGCAAATCTAGCCTTGGAACAAACCAAAGACCCACAAGAAGAGGAGGGCCAGAATAGCACCCTGTGAAGTCCATGGTGTCATCTGGGTCATTTCCTGCCCTCAGACCAGAAACTTCTGATCTCGCGTCAGGAAGAAGTGTCCAGAGTCCTCATCTCTCCATTCCCCAAGCACCTTAGATGTGAATGAGCAGCTATGGAAGGAGCGTCATGGCACAGGGAGGAAGTTCCCCGCACTCCTGGGATCTCCTTTCACCGCTACCAGGGTGACCTTAGGGGGGGTCACTTAACTAACACTTCATCTACATCAGCTTAGCCATCTGCAATGAGATGGTTGCACTGCCGCTCCTCTGCCTTCCCACTGCTGACATTCTGTTATTTTAAACAGCCTTAATTTTTATCTGTCAAAGATCACTTGAGCGTAGGTTTATTTTTCCATATCTTCTAATTACACTGTGACAAATGGACATTGGTGGGTAATTGAGTGACGTGACTGGGGGTGAATTCTAAGTCTTCAGGGCTAGAAAATGTCATAGAGACCAGAATCCCCAAGCCTGACTGAATAGGAAAGGGAAATTACTTGGAAAGAAATGAATGGGACTAGATCAGAAGTAGCAACAAGATGTACAAGGGGCTCTGAGGTGTGTCCTGGGTCAGTCCCCTGCGACAGTTTGTGTCTGCTGGCTTTTCCAAAAGTCCTGTAACGATGTGAAGTTGGAATTGACAATCAGGGGAGAGTTTACACAAAGGGAATTGGCCAAAGCTACAAACCAAGGCATTCTTCTCCCTCTCCCAGTGAGTGTTAAGTATCTACTAGCATGACACTCAATGCCTTCTAGCATGCTCCTTGGTGGGCTTTATCAGAGACCTATCAGTAGAGGATAAGAAAAGAGTATTGTCACATCAAACACACATCCACCTTGTGGTTAGAGCTCAGTTGTACCTTCCACAGGTAGCATATTTTAAGTAAAATATGAGGTAAATTTGGAAGGCAATAAAATTTCCCCTTTAGATCACTCATAAGGAGAGTCTCCTTTCTTCATGAAGCCCAGTCTAGTGAGTCACCCCCATTGGTAATGAAATAAGTCACTGTTTGGGTTTATTCTGGCTTCGTCTCCTACTGCTATTTTTTCTGCCTTGTTTTGACTAATACCAGTTCAGTGGAAGTGTAGATATGGCTTCCTAGGCCAGGATTACACTCAGAGCCATGGAATGCACCCCATGTGAGAGCATGACTCCCAACTTACAGCAACAAATAGTGCACAGCTGTCTAATTATTTAAAATATTATCCATGTCCTGCTCTTTTGGGGTTTTTTGTGTCTTAATTTCCAAAGTTTAATTTCCATAGGTGAGATGTGCATATGATATAACTCCACTCTCCTGGGACAGAACTATAGTTGGTAACCCACAGATGCCACAGGGCGGGGACAGGAAGCGAATGCAGTGGGGGAGGGGAGATTATTTTCACTTCTTGGCCTCTCAGACCCCCTACCTTGTCCTTTTTAATAGAGAACAGGAGAACAGGGTCTCACCAAGATGGCAGTCAACAAAGAGAAGCAGGCTGGCACTCACTTGGGAAACCAGGCAGACAGACACAGGCAGAGAAGTTACCAGAACATATGCCCATTTGTGACACAGGGCTTTTCTAGGAGGGAAGTCACACCAGGGCAAGCAAGAGTGGGTAGAAAGCCAGTGCTGAACTTGAGCTAGGCATTTGGGGTTTCTGCTCATGGTACTAATGTGCCCAGGATGTCCAGCAGAGTTGTCAAAGTGCCTCTACTACAAGCAACCACACTTTTGTTAAGAATTAAAAGCCAGCTCTTTTGTTCTGTTTGTCTCCTTTTCTCTGTATTTCCCACACGTTACCTAGGCTATTTTTTTTTTCTCTAAACATAATCTCTCAAGTGCTTGCACAGACTCAATTTCATGAAAGGGGAAGGACTGAAAAGAGCGACACTAAGACAAGCAGACTCTGCTCCAGGTGGAAAAGCAGCATGTCAAGGGCTGTTTATCGGCTTCCATCTCCTGTTCATTTCTCTTCCAGCCCTGAGGTGCTCTGTCCCTGTCACCTGCTTCCTCCTCTTGACATTGCATATAGGACCCCAAGGGGAGAGTCTGAGAAACATAGAGCCAGAGGCAGGGGCATAGATAGGCCTCTGCTGGGAAAGGCTCATCGTCTGTGCCATTTCCGTCTACCCAATTCATACATTGCATTTATACACTATCTGTGGTTTGAATCCCTAGGCTTTATTTCCAATGAGCTGCTTCTGACAACATTTATACTAGCCTTTAGTGACCATGGACCACCTGGCTGGAGGGCACAGTCTTGGACAGGTCAGGCACATTTCGACCAGTTCATAGACCCCCCCCACCACCACCACCACCACCACACTGACTAGTTTATAGACTCCCCACCCCCATCTGTTTCTAGTTAAGAAAGAGAAAGCCTTGAATCCTTCATACAGAGCAACCAAAGATAACACCTATTCCTACCACCACCATTTTGAACATCAGGACAGAATTTTTCCAAGAAATAACAGCTTGCTGAAACTGTTACCATGACTGTTAACGGTCAAAGTCAGATCTATGGTTTTATTCCATACCAGGGCTGAAAATGAGGATGTTACCCAGGGAACATGTCTTATCTAGATTGTGACAACCAAGACTCAGGGACTGATCATTTTAGAAAAAAATAGGATGACGTCTGCTTTCTTTGGTCTAGGGTTCCTGAAATCCTTGTTTCCTGACAGTTTCCTCCCTCACTGGTGTGGAGCATAAATAGCTTCTGGAAGACCAGAAGCATTGGTTTAAACATGCTTGTATCCATGCCACCATCTTGACCACAAGTGAAGGTGTTGGAAGGAAATGCCACCCAGTGGCCAAGGCGCTTTGATAACAGCACTGATTTGCATTGAGGACATGGGCCGGGACAGGCATGGATGGCAAGCAGCACAGAGGACAGCTCCATTTACTAGGCAATTGAATCCACTAGGGGCAGGCTTCTGCCCGCAGGAAAGTTTTAACCAGAAATGACCAGACTTTGTATCATCATAGCTTTCCTAGAGCAGATGGATGAACAAATCAGGAGGGAAAGCGAGAGGCAGCAGGACCAGCAGGTATGGTCTCTTGGCTCTCAGCCCACATAGCATGTGGAAGCCTTAGCTCTTCAAAAGCTGAATAAGCAGACATTAGAAGCAATTTGGAGCTTGTTCCAGTAAAGGCGTCCCTGCATTGTCTCCACAAACCTCTTCTTGTACTGTCTCCCTGTGATGACTGTCTTGTACACAGTATGTCTGGCTGTTACTAAAACATGGATGTCAAAAATCCAACTTCAGGTGTCTGTGTTGTGAACAGGTAGCCCTTGGATGGAAAGGCATCTTCTGTAAAGTTGTAGCTAACATATAGGTTTATATATAATGTACATGTGCCTGCATGTATTAAATGTCTTCTGTATACAGTAAGCCACTGATCCGTCTTTGCAGCTGTGTGTCTAAGATGTGTCCTCCTTCAAGGCAGGGTGGTGGGAACCCGGATCACCTGTTCTCACTTCCCTTCTTGTCATGAGCAATGGTAAGACATGCCAAGGGCTAGTGTTAGAAGTAACACTCTGGAACCAGTGGATGCAGCCCAATTAAACTGCTCCATGCCCAGAAATGAACACCCCCATCCCTCTTGCACTCACTGCAGACAGCAGCGCCCAGTGGTCCAGGTTTTGCTCTTCACTTTAACCTCAAGTCCATGGCAACCCACACACTCTGCCTCCCACCCCTCATCTTTTTCCTGCCCCATTTCAGACATCAGAGCAACAGGTGAGTGCTCCAAGGGCCGTGATCTGGGGTAGGAAAGGAACAACAGTTATGACCTCAACAACTGGGAGCAACTTCTGCCTCAGAAGAAAGACCTTTGAGCGACCTCTCACACACACTGCTGGGTGGTAGTAGACCAGCTGCTTCCCGGTTTGCCCTGAAACAAGGTAGTGTTTGTCAGGCTTGGACTCTGACGTTCTGCACATGGATGCCCGGCTGTCTAGTCGTGTTCCGTGTCCTGTCATGTTCTCAGCAGCCAGTGGAAGCCAGGGTAGGATCTGGGACTTGTCATCTGAAGAGCTCCATCTTCATAGTGTGCTCTAATTTTTGCAATTTGCTATGGAGCCTTTATCCCATTTCCTGCTTATGATTGGTGCCCTCTTCGGAATGGCTTGGGAGTAGCAGAGCTGATCCCAGAAAGTTCTCTGAAACTAGAGGAACCTAGTTCTACCTATTGAGTGTTTTCATTTCCCATGCAGCCCTGAAACAAGGTAGTGTTTGTCCTGACTCAGCCCTGAATTCGCTCGTGGAGGTGGGGTATGGAGTCACCACGTGTGTTTCACTTTGTTTTTAAAGAAAAGTGTTTCATCCCTTTTACAGTCCTACAAGCTCAGTTCATTGTAAGCATCTACCATGCTTAAATACACTCTAACACTAAGCAGAGTGCCTTGCTCACAAGTGGAGGTTGGGGGTGGGGGTGGGGGGTTGTTGAGCTTAAATTTGAGCCATAAAATGGAATTACCGTGAAAGCTTTTAATCATCATGTTTTGAACCTCAAACTACAACTCTTATGTGCCCAGAGCAGCTTTTGATAGGGCTTGTGAGCATGTGCAAACAGCCTTCATCTCTGCTCCTATATTGATATCATTATTCTACTGAACCAAGATGAAGCATGTTCATCACACAAAAAAGCAACAACTCAAAAATGCGACCCCTCCACCCCTTGCCCACCTGCCCTACCTGCATAGACACTGTAGTACATTCATACCCAGAAGTCTCCTGGGAATGGTGCTTTGACATCAGCCGGTTTTGCCTGCCCAACTCCCACCCCTTCTTAAAAGTAGCAAATTGGGGTTTCCTGGGGAATTGAGAGCCCACAAGCGCCCCTGGCTCAGGGGTTGGGCATGAGACTAGCTGTGGCCAATCAGTGCCCACCCCCTGGCCACAGAGACCAATCCAGTGGTGAGCACATGACCCAAGGCCAACCAATCAGGATCAACCTCCAGCTGGCACTGCTGAGGAAATTTCTCTTCTTATACTTTTCAGCAGGTAAAATGAAGACCTGGAGATGCTGATCACCATCTTTTCTCCCACATAGAAAGCTCTTTCCTAAGAATGAAGTCCATAAAACCAGTAGGGAAGAGATGGAGAAATGTAACATTCTAGATCCAGCTATGCATGCATCTATCCAAGTCCACCCCTGAACTTGGAGCTTACATTAACTTTTTTTTTTAAAGATTTATTTATTTGTGCATACAGAACTGGGGTACAGGCCATCTATCCAAGTCCACCCCTGAACTTGGAGCTTACGTTAACTTTTTTTTTAAAGATTTATTTATTTGTGCATACAGAACTGGGGTACAGGCCAGAGGCTCAGGGGTGGTGAGAGGCTTCACCAGAGACAGAGTGGAGAACAGAACAGGCAGATTGACGAAGTACACTGCTGAGGGGAGCAGCGGGCGGGTCAGGAGAGGTCTGCCACGCCATGTAGTCACCTCCGGGGCAGGCGGGTGAACTCATGCAGAAGCGGCTTTAGATTCTCAGTGCTGTGCTTTAACCCGCTGCGCCACCAGGGAGGGCCCTACATTAACTTTTAAATATGCTTGAAGAACTCTTCCTGGTACACATTAGCCTAACCTTTGCAGTGAAAAATGTCCTACATAAGTTGTGTTGAACAAAGGAATGTTGCCCAAAAAGGCTTAGTATTTGAGTTTGGTGGAATATAAAAGAGCACAAAGGGCCCTCCCTGGTGCAGCGGATTAAAGCACAGCACTAAGAAGCTAAACCCACTTTCACATGTGTTCGATCCCCACCTTGGAGGTGACCACATGGCCTGCAGACCTCTCCTGACCCGCCCGCTGCTCCCTTCAACAGTGAACTTCGTGTCGATCTGCCTGTTCTGCTCCCCACTGTGTCCCTGGTGAATTCTCTCACCACCCCTGTACCTGTACCCCAGTTCTGTATGCACAAATAAATCTTAAAAAAAACAACAACACAAAAGAGCACAAAGGGCCAAAGTGTTCACTATTCAAAATTAGGTTAAAACCTTGAATTGAACATATTTTGAAAGGATTTCTCAGATTTGATATGAACTTGAAATCTTTCAAGAGTAGGCAATAAATATCCTACCCAACATCCTTGGCACCCATTTTTAAAAGTGTATACTTTGGAAGATGTTGATCTTCAGCTTCAGAGTCCACACTTTCAGGAAGAAGCAGAAAGTGCCTTAAGGGGCTTGCTGAAAACAAACCTTTTAGCATTTGTTCTGGACTCTACATTTATCCCAAGTGGTAATACCTTTCACACTAATTCTAAAACCAATAGGCCATAGAAAAAAAAAAATGCCATTCCCCAAAGTTTCAACTGTGGTCTTCAAACTGTGAGATCAAAACAAAAACTCAACCTCAGCTAGAAAGATAGGGTCCCCTCCTTGTAACTTCACTCCCCAATTGTCTCAGGATAACAGTTTATATCAGCTCTGCCCCTTACTAGCCTTGGAGGCTTTGCTGGGCAATGTTAACACGTCAGGTGAAAGGACAAGCCACACACAGAAGAAGCCCAGACAACCACACCTGTAGTTTTACAGTTATTTTAATAACCAGGTTTACATTAACAGTCACTTGATGAACTTTTTTTTTTTTTTTTTAATCTCAGCTAAACTTAAAACACAGTTTTCTTCACGGTTCAAACCTAACAGCTCGTCACGTTCCAGAGCTGCCTCGTAGCTACCACAGATCACAGGAGAGTTACCGTCTGTCCATAGTCACCGGACACAGAACTGAACACCCACACACCACTTTCCAAAGAGGGAACTTACAATGAATGCTGGCTGCCCAGGACAGCCCGTGAGTAAATCTGGGGCGCAAGCTGGAATTTCCAGGGGAGAGGGCCTGGCAAGAACTAAAGTTAGGTATTGTCTGCTCTGTTGGGAAGGGCTTCTGGGGGGATTAGGGGGGAGCGAAGTCCAGGCTGAGGAGTAAAGACTCAGGCCTCAGAGCCTAATTCTGGGTGTAGTCAGGAAGAAAAAGGCCAAAGAGGACTAGACCGTGACAAAAACCCATTTTCAGAATGACTACAGGTTTTAGAAAACTTAGAAGAATTCTCTCTACTGGTGTCTGACTGAACAGTCCCACAAATACATTCTCATCTACCCAAGACTGAGGCCTCAGAGAGAAGGCCAGCGGATTGCCATCTGGGCTTAAGCCAGTGAGAGAAGGCAGGAGAGAAGGCAGGGGCCAGGGTAAGAGATGAGACAGCAAAAGGAAACTTGGGAGGGAGAACGGGAGGTTCGCTGTGCTCCCCTGTGGCAGGAAGAATCCCCCAGGCAGTCTGATGTGGTTCAGTCATGTGCTCCTCCTAAACCT